AGAGGAGGGAGGTTGTGCTTGTGACCATTTTCAAACAAAAATAGTTAGCAGTTAGGACAGCCTGAACCTGGGTGACCCCCAACACCTCCCTAAGCTGTATTGGGAGGCTCTAAACTTAAAAGCAAACAAGACAAGCCGGCTTGGGTACAGGGAAGGCTACCTGGTAGGATAAGCCTGGTGTTGACAGAAGCAGCCTGGCCCCAGTAGGGGCTCAGTCATGCTGGGGGGATGCAGAGTTTGCAGGTATTTGAGGCCACAGGGACACTTCTCTTTGTAAGTCAATGCAGCAGCTAGGCTGCCCTGAATTCTCTGACTAGGGCTAGGGATGTGGCTCAGTTGGCCTTCAGAGCAGGCAGGGAGGCCTGAGTCTGGTCCCCAGCACTGTATTAACTGGGTGTGGTGGCTTGTGTCAACAATCCTTGCACTCAGGTAGAGGCAGGAGGTTCAGAAATTGAAAACCATCCTTGGCTACCTAGGGAGTTGAAGGCCAGCCTGGGATACATGAGATCCTGTCTCTAAAACAAAAACAAAATGAGGAATTCTGTATCTCACTATGGAAAGTAATAACAGGCCGCTTGTGCTTTCTTTGGGAACTGCTCCAGAGCTTTACCCCATTTGCCTTCGAATTAATTATATATGTAAATAAAGAATATAAATTAACCCATTAAAATTGTTGCTCTGAGCTGGATGTGGGGTACACACCTATAATCCTAGTACTCAGGTGTCTGAGACAGGAGGATTGCAAGGTCAAGGCCCAAATGGGCTACAGGCTATGGTCTTGTCTCAGAACACTAATATCTAGGTCTGTGACTCAGCAGTAGAGCCCTTGCCTACCATGGGCAAGGTCGGTCTCTCTCTCCAACAAGGAAATCTTTGTGTCCCATCTTGTCACCATGCACACCCATCCACAGCCTCTATCCACGGGCGTCCGAATAGGTGATAAAGGACCCGGGGGCAAGAACGGACAAGGCTATAGGGATGTTCTCAGTCTGGCCTCATTGGAGAGTGGTATTTCTCCCCTTGGGGCCAACACTCAGGTCCCTGTGATCAGCCTGTGGCTTGATGCCACCTATGGCCATTCACTTGGCTACTTGGATCTGCCTGGGCCCAGCTGGATGGTGGGTGGTTGGGATGAGGGATGAGCTGTCCCTGGGGCTGAAAGCAATAGGGCCTTGGGCATAGCAGGGCAAGAAAGGGACAGGAGCTGGGTATAAATAGCCCCTACCCAGCAGGGCAGGCCTGGCAAGCCCTCTGTCCTCCCCCTCACCAGCTGCTGGTACCAGCCATGCCCCAACCTCTTTTGGGAGCCTGGCCATCATCTCAGATGCTCACTGTAGGAAGTCCCTCAGCGGAACTGAGGAGTCTTGTCCTGTGTGTGGGTGCAACCTCCGGCTGCCTGGAACCTGCCGAGTGGGGGCATCAGGCAGGCTCTTTGGGGCATCCTCTATTTCTTGCCTGGAAGCCCAAGTGTGCTGGTGTATGTGTGTGTGTGTGGGAAACAATAGAAGACACGCCCCTTTGTGACATGCTACAAACAAATTAGTCAGCCTTCTGTGGTGAGGAGGGGAGAATGGGGTGAAGGAAAAACTCAGGCTAGGAGAAGTTCTTTCTGCTTGGGAGCTCATGGAAGCCTTTACAAGTGATTCAGGACGGGTTTGCCTTGGGTATGGGCTGCAGAGAGACACTCAGGTGGAGAGTTCTGCCGGCACTAAGGGTGTGAAGCAGTTTCAGCTGGCCTTAAGGCAAATCTAATCAAAGCCACTCACACTGGGGAGAGAATGAGAAGAGGAGGCTCTCATGTCGACTCTCCCAGGGGGACAAGCTCTTCTGTAATGGGGACAAGAAGTGGGTTACGCTGATACGTCTGCGACGATGGAATGTCAGCCGTGCTGCGTGGGCACAGCTCAGGATCGGCAGGGCATGTCTGGGAGGGCAGCTGTCCTACAGAATTCAATCCCAAGGCCACAGCCTCAAGAAGAGCCCAAAGCCATCCATAGATCTGAGCCGCATCCCTAGAGGCTAATTATCACAGGATGTCCAGATTCACTGAGACCTTTGACCAGAGCATCCTGGAAATACTCTCTGGTTAGCTTGAGCATCCATCCAAGTCACACATGGCTTTGCTCAACTTGGCCTGTCAGTCAGAGGGATTTGCTCTGCCGGTCCTGACAGGGCTGTTGGTGAAGGGTCTCAGCTCTGTTCTGAGGCCTCGTCTCTTCTCATGTATGTTGGGAGGGGGCTTTGGAAATTCTGGAATGTTGTACCAAGTCAGGGAAACGAGGATGAGAGAAATGAGGCCGGTGACATGGCAGGGACAGAGGACTGATGGTGTGGAACCTGCGGTGGCCACCATTCCTTGGGGGATTCCGACATGCCTGGCACTTAGCTGTGCATCTTTCCTCCTGTGAGGTCTGTCTCACAGATGAAGAAACTGCGATGTGGAGAAGTTAAGGAAATTGCTTGGATTGGCAGCTTGAGGAAGACAGAGCTGGGTGTGAGCTAGGCTAAGGGTCCAGGTTTGGAGGGAGGAGGGAACATAACTCAGGGTGACAAGCTGTCTGCATTGAATCCTGGAAGGTTTTCTTTTCTAGTAACTGTTGTGCTTGGGAGGTGAGACTAGGGCTGTGTGCTGGGAAAGGGGATGGTAAGGGGTAGAAGGAAGAGAAGGAGGGAGGGAGAGAGGGAAGAGAGAGAACATATGCCAGGAGGGAGGTTCAACTCCAGCACTTTAAGCCCTGCAGATCCCGGCAGGTTACTTACTTTCTTTGCCTTGGTTTCCTTGTCTGTGAAATGAGATGTTAGTGATGACAACAGTTTCTCCATCACAGACCTATGAGGATTAAATAGGATAAAGATATAAAATTTAGAACTGTACCCAGCCCGGGTCAGACCTATAATACATCTTAGGTGTTTTCTTCTATACACGGGATGGAGCAGATGACGGTTTTGCTGAGCTCCCACCAGGGTGTCGTGTGCTGTGTGCCGCCGTCAGTCTGGGCTCACCATTGCCTCCCACTTAGACACGAGCCCACTAAGCTGTAGACAGGCCAGGCCTGAAGTCACCCCATCTCCTTGGGGACCCAAGCAGACACTGTCTATAAGGCAGAGGTGAGTGACTTGCCCCAGAGCTCTGGAGCCAGGCAGTGTACTTTCTAGCCGTGGTCCCATGTGTGGGCTTTCATCTGTGCAGCTAGTAAAGTCCCTACTGTGTGCTGGGTTGCTATCAGGCAACTCGAGGAAAGGGCACTGAGTGAAGGGAGCTGGTAGTTAGCCGTGATGGTGTGCCATTAAGGCTTCAGTGGCTAGCCCGTTCTTTCTTTCCCACTCTTGTTCTGTCTCAGTGTGACAGTGTCCTGTAGCCCAAGTTAGTTTGCAATTCCTGATCCTCTTGCTTCTCTAAGTGCTGGGATTGCAGGAATGCACCACCAAGTCCCCAACTTTTCCTTTTCAAAAGGATTCAGAACTTGAGTTGGGGAGAGCTCAGTGGGGGATCACTTGCTAGGCCTGCATGGCTGGACATGGCTCCTTAAGGTCACTAATTCAAATCCCCCAGTTCTGCCTCCCCACTCTCTCTTCCCAATGAACAAACAGAAAAACCTGGACTTCCTCCCCTGATAGCTGAGGCCAGAGGGGCCTGAAGCCGTGGTGCTGTGTGCCACGTTGCCCTGGAGTCTCTGGATTGAGCAAGACTCTAATGTGGGGGAAGGGTGCTGGGGAAGCAGCTCATAGCATATGCTGATCGGCCTGGGACAAGTGGTCTGGAAACCCTGATTCTTCATCAGGGGACAGAGATGATCATCATCAGGGGATAAAAACTGATCAGGCCCATTTCGTGCAATAAATGGCCAGTGTTTGGTTCATCCGTGCCTAGCCAAGGTAGCTTTTGTGTGCTTTCTTCTAGCCCACCCCAGAGGCCTACCCCACGCCCTCTTCCCAAGGCTCCTGCACCCAAGACTTGACCTTGGCCAGTGCCTAGGTTCCCTTCTTCTAGGACACTGCTCCTTATATGGGGCTGGCCACAATTGACCATGAAGTCCCGAGACTCATGACATCATTTCTGCTGCCCCTTTCTTGAGAAGGGGGAAGGAAAAAGTAGAGACACTGGCAGTACTTTGATTTTTTTAGAGTATTTGACCCTTGCCTCCCACATGGACTTCCCAACATAAAATCCCGAGGGTAGAAGAGGGTGGCTGGACTGAGGCAACAGGGTTTGGGGAAATGCCTGCTGAGATTTTTTCCTTTTGCTCTTGAGTTAAAAGTAATCATGAAACGGAGCCTCTGTCTCTGGTGAGAGGGGGGGTGGCACTCTAGAAACTTCTAGGGAACTATAAGGATGGTGGCGGAGGCGCTTGCAGACAGAACACTTGCTGCCATCAGGGGCAGACAGACGCTTGGTCAAGTATGTCTAATCCTGGGGAAGAGCTGGGGGGCTTTGGGGTATGTGTGCCTGTCTGCTGAGACTCATGGTTCCGTTTTTTGTTCTTTTTTCTAAGATGGAGCTGGAGTCACAATGGCCTCTGCTTCCTTTGTCCTTTATGTTTGGATCCCTTCCCACGAATGGCTGTTAGTCTCCATATGGCCCGTGAATCCTAGAGTCCCTGGGAGATTCCTAGCGGGAGTCCTGCAATTCCCACCAGGGCAACTGGGCCCAGGCACTGGGCAGAACTTGATCTCGGCCCCAATTCTCTATTTCCAGTCCAGAGTTATTTTCATGACATAGTACAGACCCACAAAGTCCCTCCTCCCCCAAAGGCTCTGCTGTTCCACCTACCCTGCAAGTCAGATGTGCCCAAGTCAGAGGGACACTGCCTAAACCAGGGCTGTGCCCTTTGCGGACACCATGTCCCCAAGGAAGTCAAAAGCAGCACATGAGGTTATATAGGCTTCTCAGAGCCATGGATCATTCCCCCCCCCCCTTCTCCCTCCCCTGTGAAGACATGACATCCAGACTAGGCCACGTGTTCTATGTCTACAGTGCTATCCCCGTTGTCTGTCTGCAGGTCCCTGGCCCTGGGCCAGCAGTACACATCTCTGGGCTCCCAGCCTCTGCTCTGCGGCTCCATCCCAGGCCTGGTCCCCAAGCAACTGCGCTTCTGCCGCAATTACATCGAAATCATGCCCAGTGTAGCAGAAGGCGTGAAGCTGGGCATCCAGGAGTGCCAGCATCAGTTCCGCGGCCGCCGATGGAACTGTACCACCATCGATGACAGCTTGGCCATCTTTGGGCCTGTCCTGGACAAAGGTACTTGCCTGGGGCTGGGTAGGTGGTGGCTGGGAGAGTAGGGGTGTTGGGAAGGGTCCCAGGACTCTGCCCCCTTCCTCCCACCGTGGGAAACTCTGAAACCAAGATCTCCCTAGGGGGGTAATAAAGCTGGTGGAAAGTGGGTGGGGTCCATCTCTGGACAGAGCAGGCAGTCTCCGCACTAGCACATCTTTTCTGGTGCTGCAGGGGGGCTGGGCAGCCCTGAGATGCCTCGGGGTTGGAGATTGGAGGACAGGCACCAAGGAGTCCAGAGCCTTCCTTCCTGGCTGACACAGCAGGGGCCCCAGGCTTTGATGTGGACATGAGTGATATTTCCCTTATGCTGTGTTAAGTGCTATGCAAATACAGCTTTGGGGTGGGGGTGGGATGGTGCCAGGCCTAGGTGTTCTGCCACGGAAAAGTCCCCAGGGTCTGTTGAAGCTGCCTGGTGTTGGTAGCACTGTGTGGCCTCCAAGGGTCCCCTGAGAGTTCTTGTTGGTTCCCATGTCCTGAAAGCAAGACATGCCCATAAAACTGGTGGCCTCAGCTATCTTGAGACCTGGAAGTGTAACCAGCTGTGACCCTAGTGGATGAAAGTAGCCGCATTTGACTTTGAACATGGGGTGTAAGAGAGGGAGGGATGAGTGGGGAAACTGCCCCTAAGAAGGGGATTTTGGCTCCAGAACCTCTTGTGTCCAGGAATTTAATGACCCTAAGCTGGGCTGTCCTCGGAGTTTTGCCAGCTTGTGGGGGGTGGGTACTCCTCCTCCTAGAAGGAATTGGTAAAAGCTGCCTTCACAGCCAGGAAGAGGAGGGGTGATCAGCTGAGTTTAGGACAGAGGAACTGACTACCCTCCCGACTGGAGTGAATTTAGTTCCCTACCCGGTCCCCCCTCTCCCGCCCACACCTAGGTTTCTAGAACCTACAGGGAAAAAAAAAGAAGCTGGCTATTGTCATGGGACAGGAGGGCAATTAGCAAATCAATGGATGATGATTCTGTTTACGCTTCTATTATCAAAGCTAATTATTCCTTGTTTACATAAAAGGTTTGGCCTCTAATTGGGGCCAAGTGGCGGCGGCGGATGGCTTTTCAAACCTCCTCTTGAACGCCTGTTGGTCTCACCGCCTTCCGGCGCCCCACCTCAGTCCAGGTAGCGCTTAATCAAACAGCCCGGCGTCCCGACGCCTCCCCAAAAGCAACACTGGCCTTCTGATCACGCGTCCCGCCCAGGACATCGGCCACCTAGACCTTTCAGCTTTTATACCGGTTCGCTACAGGTCTGGTGTTTAGATTCGCCTCAGGGGGTTGTGCTACAAGCCTCGGTCCCACTGCAAGAGGGCAGTTTGTGTCCCGGTGTGCAGGGACTATGGGGCTGAGACTGCTATTTGATTAGGCAGTGGGGTGAGGTTC